TATGTTCTCTTTACTGCTTTAGGAATTACGACTTCATCTTTGTTTAAAATTGCACCCCAATTGGCATTGTAGACATGGTTTACATCCCGCTGTTTTGAAAAGAGCTAGAAGAATTGTAAAATGCAAAATAAAACAGTATACTTGAGTTGAAAATAACACACCAATCCTTCCAGCTTAGCGATGATTTCATTTCTCAATGCATCAATGTCTTTTTCTTGTCTTACTTTTAATATATCAATTTCATTTTTTAACTTCCTATTTTAAAGAATTGTAAAAAAGTAAATTACAAGCTATATAAAAGAACAATAGAAAAAGAAAGAAGCAATAAAGTACCAATTGTTTCCAATTACGAATGTGCAGACCACTGTTACACCACTAATCAATCCACCAAATATGATAAATAATACTTTATTTGCTTCAACAGCTTCTTTAGCCTTTCCGATCCAAGAACTATTAGGTGCAACGGGAGGAAGGGAGGCGTTAAAATTAATTTTTTAAAATTAATTGTTAAATTAAATTAAAATATCCTAAGCATTTTTTTACAGAACTGATAATCACATAAAAATATTATCTATGTGTATATAATTTTTCAATAACAGCAGATTTGTTACAAGATTTACGCAGAATGTTATACAGTATAAAGAATGAATTTTTTCTTAATTGTGCAGATTCGAACTTGTGGTAGGGATGGTCCTGGTCTCATAACCCTGTAGGTTTTACTGCATGAATTTATGAACCAAGTCCTTATAAAACCAGTTTTAGTTAACTTCAGTCCAGTCCAATACTTAGTCCTAGAACTTAGATCCGCTATATGTTGTAAAAGAGCGGATTTGGGGTGACTAGTACTCGCAACCTAAAAACCAAAGACTACTCAAAAGAAGGCGTGGAAGCTAACTAGGATCCCCGGAGTTTATCATTAGATGGTCTTTATTATTATAACACTTCACTTGTTTTCAGATACATGAAATCGATGGTTATTTATACATTACAGAGGCTTTGCTACTACGATTAGAATCTTTAAGCAATAAGACTATTTAGAGTATCGGGGGATGATGAGTAATTCATACTCATTTACATGACAATGATTTTAGTTACCACCATAGAGACGCCTTACTATTGTTCTTCAACTGAGCTTCGCCTCAAATCAAATCCGAATTGGCATTTATTAAATGCCTTCGCTTTTTCGATCAATGCCCGAATCTTATGGCTTAGATCATGTTTTTTTTTGCGGTTAGTTCACGTTACCCCTTCACAATGTACATATTGACATTTACCTATTAGAATGTGTAATAACAATATTATGTGAACTATATACATTAAATAAATGATTATGATCTTAAACTATGCATTTAAA